TGACCCCCTAGGGGAATGTCTGAGGATTCCCTGGTTACTCCTCTTCAACCCTCCTCAACCCACTTTCACGGGCCCTCATTCAATTTACACTAGTAATATGTCTTTGACCCCTTCATTAGTTGCCAGGGAGAATTTTGGAGTCTCTTTCTTACCTTCGTTTTTCTCACCTCAGCAGCATTACCTTCCTTTTCCTTTCCCCATGACAGTATCTGGTGATCCGCTGTTACCCCCCCCCCTTTTGGCTCAAAGTTTGGTGACCCCCCCATTATCTTCCCTTCTCCCCCATTACAATTCCTAGTGATCCCTGTTACATTTCCTTTGAGCATAGTGTCTGGTGACCCCCTATGAATCCCTCATCAGAGAGTCTTGTGACGTCAGTCACCTAACAGTGTCTGTGGTCGTGCCATCCACATTGCATCTCAGGAGTTAGGGATGCTGGCTCGGCGCCTGTGGCTCAAGTGGCTAAGGCGCCAGCCACATACACCTAAGGTGGCAGGTTCGCATCCGGCCCGGGCCGGCCAAACAATGACGGCTGCAACCAAAAAATAGCCAGGCATTGTGGTGGGCCCCTGTGGTCCCAGCTACTTGGGAAGTGGAGGCAGGAGACTCGCTTGAGCCCAGGTTGGAGGTTGCTGTGAGCCGTGATGCCACAGCATGCTGCCCACAGGGACAGCTTGAGGCTCTGTCTCAAAAAAAAAAAAAAAAGTTAGGGATGCCCACAATGTCCTTTAAGAACATGTTTGGTGCAACTTCCATTTACCCAAACTAAGAGCAATGTCTGGTGATCCTCTCTTTCCCACCATCCTGTTTGTGACTCCTTCCCACCGTATCTGGTAGCCTCCCCACCCCCTTTTCCATCAAAAATCCAGGACATTCCACTCATGCCCCTTATGTACCTGAGACTTAAGTGCAGTTCTTTTTCATTGGGCCCCAGAAGAGTCATGTGTGCACCTGTGCCCTCCAGGACAGTGTGTGCTACCTCCCACTGTGTTCCCTCTCTTCCCTTCCCACCCTGTGCGGTAAATCTGAGACCTGGGCACTCAAGAGTGAAACAAACAGGAGGGTTTGAGCAAAGGAGGAACTGGGTGGACCGCAGGTGTGAACATTTTGGGGGCTGTTGTGTGGAAATTAGGCTGCAGGAGCCAATGGGAGCCTGGAGATGGAATTTAAATTTTTTTTTATTTTTAATTATGGTTATGGGCAGTGCCTGTGGCTCAAAAGGGTAGGGCGCCAGTCCCATATGCCAGAGGTAGCGGGTTCAAACCCAACCCCGGCCAAAAAAAAATTATTATGGTTACAAAATAGTTGTACATATTCAAGGAGTATATGTGATACAAATGTACAATGCATAATGATAAAATCAGGGTAATTGGATAGCCGTCACCTCAAACATTTATCATATCTTTCTTTATTTCTAATTCCTCTCTTGGAGTTATTTTGAAATATACAATAAATTATTGTTAACTCCAGTCACCTTGTGGTACTACTGAACACTAGGTCTTATTCCTTCTATCTAACATATTTTTGTACCCATTAACCATCCCCCTCATATTTTTTTTTTTTGATACGGAGCCTCAAGCTATCCCCCTGGGTAGAGTGCCATGGCATCATGCTCACAGCAACTTCCAACTCCTGGGCTCAACGAGTCTCCTGCCTCAGCCTCTCAAGTAGCTGGGACTACAGGCGCCCGCCACAACACCTGCCCATTTTTTGGTTGCCATCATTGTTGTTTGGCGGGCCCGGGCTGGGGATTCGAACCCGCCACCTTAGGTGTATGTGGCTGGCGCCTTAGCTGCTTGTGCCACAGGCGCCGAGCCAACCATCCCCCTCATTATCCCTCCCTGCTATCCTTCCCTGCCTCTGGTAACCATCATTCTACTCTATATTTCGATGAGTTCATGGGGTTTTTTTGGCTCCCACTTATGGGTGAGAACATGCAATATTTGTCTTTTTGTGATTTGCTTAATATCATATCCTCCAGTTCCATCTGTGTTGTTGCAAATGATAGGATTTTGTTCTTTTTTATGGCTGAATGACATTCCATTGTTTCTGTGTATTACATTTTCTTTATTAGTTCATTCATTGATGGCTGGAACTTGAATTTTATTTTGTCCCCTGCTTCTTTGCTTTCAGACTATCATTATTGGACCTTTGAATTCTTCCTCTGTCTTCTCCTAGGAGCCCCATGGCACCTGCCCACCCCCACCTCAGCCCATCTTGACAAAGTCTTAGGCTCCATGGAGCCACCAAGGGGCCCCCCTGCCAATGGGGCTGAGCCATCCCGGGCAGTGGGCACCGTCAAAGTGTACCTGCCCAACAAGCAACGCACGGTGGTGAGTCATGGGAGCAAACCTGTCAAGGATTATAGATGCACCCTTTTGTAACTCTGCAATTGGAAGGGTGACAAGGAATGGGGGAAGGTCTTTCCATAGGGATAGGAGTGTCAGTTGGGCCCTCTGTTGAGCACTGAGGATCTTCACATCTGCACACTCACAGGTGACTGTCCGGGATGGCATGAGTGTCTACGACTCTCTAGACAAGGCCCTCAAGGTGCGGGGTCTCAATCAAGATTGCTGTGTGGTCTACCGACTCATCAAGGGGTGAGTGTGGGTAACCCCACACCCACCCACTGTGTGCTTCCCTCCCATCCCCTTCTCAGGGTCATCATGAAATCCTCTATTCGCCTTCCCTTAGTCTCTAGTCCTCTCCTTATCTGTGGGAGATATGCTCTAGGACTCTCAATAGATGCCTGAAACCGTGGATAGTACTTAACTATTTGGCTGGACTTTGGAATACATTTCTGTTCATGTCTTTTACCCACAAATGTAATGCTTTGTCCATCTTAACTAAGCATTTACCATGCATTGTGGCTATAACTTTTGCACTTTGAAGTGCAACAGCAAAATCAGCTGAAAATGAAATGAATTTATTTTCCCTTTTTTTTTTTTGAGACAGAGTCTCAAGCTGTCTTTTCCTTTCTTCACAATTTCAAGAGTAGAAGAGTTATTCTTGCTATAGATCTCAGCAACCTCAGCATATGATTTTTTTCTTTCCTTAAATCAAGAGCTTTCATCTTCTCACTTAAAGGAAGCACTTTTTAAAAAATTTTTTTTTGCAAGAACTTTCATCTTCTCACTTAAAGGAAGCACTTTTAAAAAAAATTTTTTTGAGACAGTTTCACTTATTAACCCTCGGTAGAGTGCTGTGGCATCACAGCTCACAGCAACCTCCAACTCCTTGGGCTTAGGCTATTCTCTTGCCTCAGCCTCCTGAGTAGCTGGGACTACAGGAGCCCGCTACAATGCCCAGCTAATTTTTTGTTGCAGTTTGGCCGGGGCTAGGTTTGAACCCGCCACCCTCGGTACATGCCATTCTACTTGTGCTGTGACGTCATAGCTCACAGCAACCTCCAACTCTTGGGCTCAAGAGATCCTCTTGCCTCAGTTTTTCTATTTTTAGTAGTGGCTCTGGCTCAGGCTGGTCTCAAACCTGTGCTCAAGCAATCTACCTGTTTTGGCCTCCCAGAGTGCTGGGATTACAGGCGTGAGCCACCACATTCAGCCATTAAAGGAAGCACTTTATGGCTTCTCTTAGGCATATCTGAACCATCACTACTTATACACTTTGGGGCCATTATTATTAAAGTAAGGATGACTTGAACACAAGCACTGCAAATACTAAGACAGTCATCCGATAACTGAGATAGCTTCTTAGTGACTAACAGTAGCGGGCAGTGTAGATACCGTGGATAAGCTGGACAAGGGGATGATTCACGTCTTAGGAGGGATGGCAAAAGATTTCATCATACTACTCAGAACGGTGCTTGATTTAACTGGGTAACTACAACTGTGGAAAGTGAAAGCACAAATAAGGGGAAATTTTTGTAGTTCATTTAATCTATGAGTCCATCCATCTTTTGTTCCATCACTTCATTAGTTTGTTGGCCTGTAAGGTCAGCAACTCATTCTCTTTTTGGCCCCCAAGTCCTCACTCTGCTCTATCACTTCCAGAGATCATCTATTTTGTTCTTTCACTATTTCATTAATTCATCACTTCTCCTTCTTCAGTTTCCCCATTCTCTGTCTCCTGAGTTGGGCCTTGGTACCCTTCCATTTATTCCTCCATTCTGGGGTTCCTAAATTTTTTCTGCAATTCACACATTATTATTTTTTTGAGACAGAGTCTCACTGTGTCACCCTTGGTAGAGTGCTGTGGCATCACACCTCACAGCAACCTCAAACTCTTGGGCTTAAGTGATTCTTTTGCCTCAGCCTCCTAAGTAGCTGGGGCTATAGTAGTTGTCATTGTTTAGCAGGCCCAGGCTGGGTTTGAATCTGCCAGTCCCCATGTATGTGGCCAGCGCCCTAACCACTGAGCAACGAGCACCGAGCCCAGTTCACACATTATGTTTTATTTGTTCTTTCAGTGCCTCCTCAGCCTCCTTTTCTGAGCTCACTTAGCACTTGTCACACTTAGTTGTTTGGCTTCCTTCACTTCTTACCTTGTGGTTGAGAGCATGGCCTCTTCACTCTGTCTTGCCATTCGTTAACCCTTGTGGCCTTGGACAAGTCACTTAATCTCTCTGAACCTGTTTTCCTATCTGTAAAACGGCGGCAAGGATAGTGACTAATTCCTTAAGTTGCTGTAATGAGAATTAAACATGCCAAATATTGGCTTGGTGCCCATAGCACAGTGGTTACAGCACTGGCCACATACACAGAGGCCGGCGGGTTCAAACCCAGCCCAGGCCTGCCACACAACTATGACAACTGCAACATAAAAATAGCCGGGCACTGTAGCAGGTGCCTGTAGTCCCAGCTACTTGGGAGGCTGAGGCAAGAGAATCGCTTAAGCCCATAAGTTTGAGGCTGCTGTGAGCTATGACACCATGGCACTTTACTGAGGGTGACATAGAGAGACTCCATCTCAAAAAAATAAATAAACAAACATGCCAAATATTACTCCATGGATGGCAGGCTCAGAGGGACTTTTTTTTTTCCAGTGTTAAAGTCTATATAATGGCTTATCCCACAAAGGGAGAACACGAGAATAGGTTAGACTTTCTTGCTATAGCAAGCTCAAATTGTGTCGGACACTTTTGTCGGAGGGACTTTTGGATGTTTTCTGTTTCTCCATGGCCTCTGTCCATCCTTCTACTCATTCCCTTCAATGCCCTCTGCAGGCGAAAGACAGTCACTGCCTGGGACACGGCCATTGCCCCCCTGGATGGTGAGGAACTTATTGTCGAGGTCCTTGAAGATGTCCCACTGACCATGCACAATTTTGTGAGTGCAGGGTAGACAGGTGGGGCACACTGTGTGTGGAGAAAGGGTCTTGATCAGCCCTTAACCTTCCTTGTTCTGTGGCAGCAGGTACGGAAGACCTTCTTCAGCCTGGCATTCTGTGACTTCTGCCTTAAGTTTCTGTTCAATGGCTTCCGCTGTCAAACCTGTGGCTACAAGTTCCACCAGCATTGTTCCTCCAAGGTCCCCACAGTCTGTGTCGATATGAGTACCAACCGCCGACAGTGAGCTCAGCCTGGGGTGGGTGGGGGGATGGGGAGACAGGCCCAGCTGCAAGGTCCTTACAGACTGCTGACCCATGTCCCCTTCCTTTATACTCTAATGTCTTCAAGGTTCTACCACAGTGTCCAGGATTTGTCCGGAGGGTCCAGACATCATGAGGCTCCCTCAAACCGCCCCCTGAATGAGCCGCTAACCCCCCAGGGTCCCAGGTAGGGATGACTTAGCCAAAGGGCTACTGGGATAGAAAAAGATCTGGGGGCTCCTGTAGAACACAAGCAATATTTTAATCATATATTTATTTGACAAACATTTATTGAGTACCTACAAGTGTGAGTAAGGGCATGAAGCTGTGGGACCTTGGGCAAGTCACCTAATTTCTCTGGGCCTCAGTTTTATCATCTATAAAGAAGGGATAATAGCACTTTCTACCATATAGGGTTCTGTTGAGGATTAAATGAGGTAAGACATGTCGAATGCCAAGAATAGAATCTGGTACAGAGTAAATGATTAATTCAGCTTATAAATTATAAATATGTATGGTATATGTAAGCATACAACTACCTTGTTAATTTGTCCAGTACAACCATGCCCAAGCCTTTCCATTTTGAAGTGTGTATTATTTTATCATAAGTTACTTCCCTTTTATTTTTGTTATGTTTAAAATTATAACATATATTAAAATACATTATTGCTCCTATATATCATATATTTTATAATGTACATATTTATATTGTATATTTATGATATTGTATCGTGTCTTCTATTACATAATATTCTTATATAGAACATACATATTTATATAATATATGAAAAGGTGCAGTTAGGGGTATTATTTTTAATTATGGGTGTATGTGGATTATTTACCTTACAATTTAATTTCAGGATAGTGAAGGGTACAATAGGAAATATTTTTGTAACACTACAATATGTATAACATGTATGTGTAACATATAACACTATGCTTATGATAATATGTATATTCTAAAACATTGCCATTTTAATATAGCTCATGCATGTTATATAACATGTATTTGAATAGTACATGTAATTATATATTTATAAAACACTATATATTGCCCTTTCCCCACTATGTGTGGCTGGCTGTCCTTCCTTTAGGCCTTTGCTCCAATGTCACTTCCTCAGAAAAGCCCTTCCTGACTCCCTTAGGGATACTTTCCGTCTCCTCATTTTGCCTTATTGTTTTTTATTATACCTATCACCATCAGGCATATTATATATTTGGGTTTTTCTCTCTCCCTCTGCTAAAATATCAGCCCCACGAGGTCACAAACTGTTGTTTTGTCCACAATTTTATCTATACCATTGGGAATGGTATGTAGCACACAGCAGGCACTCAATAAATGTTTCTTGAAACAATGAATAATAGTACTGCCAGTGGACATTTGCTCTGTATGAGCCAAATGCCTGCTTACAGCCATAGGTTGAGTGGGGAGGGCTTTCTTGGTTCTCTGATTCATTCAACAGTGATTTCACAGCCTTTCCCCTGTCAGCCCCCGCACCCAGCACTGCGACCCGGAGCACTTCCCCTTCCCTGCCCCAGCCAACGCCCCCCTCCAGCGCATCCGCTCCACGTCCACTCCCAACGTCCATATGGTCAGCACCACAGCCCCCATGGACTCCAACCTCATCCAGGTTGGTGCCATGGGGGGCAATGATGGGGACCACTGGGCAGAGGGGAGAACGTTCCTGTTGGCCTCCACATCCTCTCTTTGACTCCTTTCCCTCTTCTTCCAGCTCAATGCCCAGAGTTTCAGCATTGATGGTGAGCCCCCTGTACCTGCACCCTGAACCCCCTAACCTCTGCCTTCACCCCTCTTGCCTTCACTCACATCCTCTCCACAACTACAGCTGCTGGTAGTAAAGGTGGTGGTGATGGAGTTCCCCGGGGCAGCCCCAGCCCAGCCAGTGTGTCCTCGGGGAGGAAGTCCCCACATTCCAAGTCTCCATTGGAGCAGCGGGAACGGAAGTCATTGGCTGATGAGAAGAAGAAAGTGGTACGCTCAAGGGGAAAACTTTGCGGGGGTACCACAAGCTGAGTGACATGGGATGAGGGATGTGGGCAAGCCCCTCAGATGCCACCTGTCTGGCCCACAGAAGAACCTGGGGTACCGGGACTCGAGCTATTACTGGGAGGTGCCGCCCAGTGAGGTACAGCTGCTGAAGAGGATTGGGACAGGCTCCTTTGGCACCGTGTTTCGTGGGCGGTGGCATGGCGATGTGGCCGTGAAGGTGCTCAAGGTGGCCCAACCCACAGCTGAGCAGGCCCAGGCCTTCAAGAATGAGATGCAAGTGCTCAGGTGAGGCCGCATGTGTGTGTAGAAGTGGGGGGTGGCAAGTAGGGCCTTGGCACCTCTCTGGATAAAGGTCATGCACAGAGCACGTCCTGGATCTCTCCTGCATTTGTGTTGTTAGACCATAATTCAAAGTTGTTTCTCTTTTAAGAATGTCCCTTTCTCCTTTAGGAAATGGGTATGTTTAGTGGGCCTCTGATGATACTATTGTTTGTGTTTGGTTTAACATTGGTATTAATTAATGGCTCTATCTCCAGATTGTGAGACTTCTCATTTGCATGTGGTAAACTGGGCAGGGGGCAGGCCACCATTCACATTCTTACACGCATTAGTGTGAAGAGCATTAATGTTAGTGGACACATCCCCAGGAAGGCTGAGTCCTTCCTTCCTCTCTGCTTGTACTACATTGTTAATGTTATGTTTATTGTCCTACATCTTGTTATTCATTAATTATAATAATGCCGGCTCAGCGCCTATAGCTCAACCGGCTAAGGCGCCAGCCACGTACACCTAAGGTGGCGGGTTCATATCCCCAGCCCGGACCCGCCAAACAACAATGA